ATCTGATTAAAAACTAACATTAGTAAAGGAGGCAGGCATCTGAGTGTGGCAGAAAAAGCAACCATGGAGCTCACATTGTAAACCTCATTCTGCCAGTCATTGCTTTTGTGTTCTTGGAGGAAAGCCACAATAATCCTGACTTAATTGTTATCATAAGACAAAGGGCAACTTGGCGAGACCTCATCTCTACAATAAATCAAAAAATCAGCCGGGCGTGGTAGCGCATGCCTGTAATTCCGGCTACTCGGAAGGCTGAGGCGGAAGGTTCGCTGGAGCCCAGCAGGTCGAGGCTGCGGTGGCCGGGAGCGCCCACTGCACTCCAGTCTGGGCGACAGAGTGAGACTCCAACTCAAAAAAAAAAAAAAAGACAAAGGGGATAATGCTCACCTCAGAAACCCTTTGAAGGTCCATGAGAGGTGAGTATCAAATGTTGTGTGAAATTAAGAAAGTATTAGTACACATAACCAAGAACTTCCAAATTTAGAAATAAGATGAGAAATAGTTCCTTCCAGTTGCAAAATTATCCGGGAAATAAACGATTGTTGGTAGCAAATCAGTTCCACCTTGTGGAACCTCCCATGTGATAGTACAACCATCACATGGCAATCTGGGCCTCAGTGGCACCATCTGCCAAGTGCAAGGCATCTTTTAAGAGTGCATCTAGCTCTGAGCCTTGGCAATTTTGATCAACCACTATCTTCCAAGTTGGTCATTTTTTTAAAAGGCATGTATAAAAAAACAAACAAAAACAAAAACACCAGGCTGGGCATGGTGGCTCACACCTGCATTCCCAGTACTTTGGGAGGCCAAGGCAGGAGGATCGCTGGAGGCCAGGAGTTTGAGACCAGCCCAGGCAACAAAGTGAGTTTCTGCCTCTAAAAAATTTTTTTTTAATTAGCCAGGCCTGGTGGCCCATATTAGTAGTCTCAGCTACCTAGGCGGTTGAGGTGGGAGGATCACTTGAGCCCAGGTGTTTGAGGCTGAGGTGAGCAGTGATCACACCACTGCACTACTCCAGCCTGGGTGATGGAGCAAGACCCTATCTCTTAAAAAGGAAGGAAGGGAGGGAGGGAGGAAGGAAGGAAGGAAAGAAGGATGGATCATATAGATTATGATCTCTTCATCTTCCTGAAAACGAGACTCCATTTCTTTTCTTTTTCTTTTTTTCTTTTTTTGGTTTGGAGTCTCACTCCATCGCCCAGGCTGGAGTGCAGTGGCATACTCACGGCCACCCCAGTGTCAAGCTGCTCCTTCCACCTCAGCCTTCCAAGTAGCCGGAACTACAGGTGCATGCTACCACACCTGAATAATTTTTGATTTATTGTAGTGATGAAGTCTCACCAAGTTGCCTGGGCTGGTTTCAAACTTCTGGACTCAGGTAATTCACTCGCCTTGGCCTCCTAAAGTGCTGGGATGACAGGCTGAGCCACGGAGCCCAGTCGAAACTCCATTTCTAAAAAAATATATAATAATAGTAATTAAACCAGTTCAGCAGGTGCTACCTCCTACAAGCAAGGTTGGAAAAGCCTAGTCAACCAGTGTCCTGCCAATAGCAGGACAGGTTGACATAGACCTTGGCAACTTTCAACTTAACAAAATGCTCCAAGCTTCAAGTTTCTGGGATAAGTAAAGACCAGTAAAAAACATGGATGAGGCTGGGCATGGTGATTCACGCCTATAATCTCAGCACTTTGGGAGGCTGAGCTGAGAGGATTGCCTGAGAACCCGGGGTTCGAGACCAGCCTGGACAACTTGGCGAAACCTCATCTCTACAACAAATCAAAAAATTAGCCAGGCATGGTGGCACGTGCCTATAGTTTCAGCTACTTGAAAGACTGAGGCGAAAGGATCCCCTGAGCCCAGCAGGTCGAGGCTGCGGTGGCCAGGAGCATGGCACTGCCCTCCAGCCTGGATAACAGAGTGTGACTCCTACTCAAAAAAAAAAAATCATGAATGAAAATGCAGACTATAGTTTCTTACATCCAAACAAATAAATAAAAGCGGGGTTCACACAGTGGTAGGAACTGTTTTCATTCCACAGTTGTTTATTTGTTTGTTATTTTTATTTTTTGTAGAGATGAGGCCTCACTATGTTGCCCAGCTAGTCATGAACACCTACTCAAGCAATCCTCCCACCTCAGCCTCCTAAAGGGCGTGAGCCACTGCACCCAGCCAGTCGTTTCTTGAGTGTCTATTATATTCCAAGCATGGAACTAGGTGATGCAGTGCAAGCAACATGGCAGACTTGGCCTGTCCTAATGGAGCCTACAGGGTGTCTGAGGACAGAGGCAGGTGAGCAATTACCATAGGGGGACAAGTTCTCTGGTACCAGAACTCCAGGGTGCAGGGAACTCATAGCAGAAACACCAAAACCAGCCCAGAGGCCACAGAGCAGTGAGGAAAAACTTCAGTAGAGACCTGTGGGTATATGGAGTTATGGAGGAAAGAAAGGCAGAAAGAACAGTAGGGTACAGATTTGGGAGGGGAACATGTTTGTTTCCCTTGGAACGTGAGTTTTTTCTCCTGCAGCATGTTTGAAGCATATGCCATGTTGGTACATCCCTATGGCCAAGAGGTACATGAAAAAACGCTTAACATCACTAATTCTCAGGGCTATGCAAATCAAAACCACAACGAGGTAACATTTCATCTCAGTGAGACTGGCTATTATCAAAAAGAAAAAAATGACAAATGCTGGTGAGGAGACCAAGAAAGGAGAACTCTTATACACTGTTGTGGGGATGTAAATGAGGCCAGCCACTGTGGAAAACAGTATGGAGGTTCCTCACAAAACCAAAAAATACGATCCAGCCATCCCACTGCTGGGTGTATATCCAACAGAAAGGAAATCAGGACCTTTCCGAGTTGTTGGCTGTGGGATCTGGCGCGACCTGACTCGTTGGTCCTGTGTCAAGATGCTTCAGAGCATTATTAAAAGTGTCTGGATTGAGTCACCCTGCCATCATTAAACTCTTTCTCCTCATCAAAAAAAAAAAAGATAAAAAGTGTCTGGATCCCTGTGAAACCCTATTCTGTTGAAGTTTGCCAGGAGATTTGGGTGGGAATGGGGTGGGTGAGGCTCATCGTGTGTAAGACCAGGAGTGCTGATGAAGGAGAAAAGCTTTGAAAGTTCCTGCAGCTGCTCACGGGCATCGCTTGCCTGCCTTACCTGGAGCACACGTGAGATGGAACGCCAGTCTACCTGTAAATCTAAGCAAGTATCTTATACGGGAATGTGACACATCACTGTACGCTTGTCTAAGTACCATCTGCTTCATGCCATGATGTGTTGATGCACAAATGTGTTAATGCACCAAAAAAAAAAAAAAACGGAAATCAGTTTATCCAAGAGATATCATGATAGCACCCCCATGTTTATCACAGCGCTATTCCCAATATGGACTGAAATATGGACTCAGCTTAAGTGTCTATCAACAGATAAACGGATAAAGAAAATGTGATAGCCAGGCGTGGTGGCTCATGCCTGTGACCCCAGCGCTTTGGGAAGCGGAGGCGAGAGGATTACCTGAGTCCAGGGGTTCAAGACCAGCCTGGGTAACTTGGCAAGACCTCGTCTCTACAGTAAGTCAAAAAATTAGCCGGGCCTGGTGGCACGTGCCTGTAATTCCAGCTACTTGGGAGGCTGAGGCAGAAGATCACCTGAGCCCAGCAGGCTGAGGCTGCGGTGATCGTTTGCATGCCATGGCACTACAGCATGGGCAACAGAGACTCCTACTCAAAAAAATAAAAAGGAAAAAAAAGAAAATATGGTATACACACACAGCGGAATATTATTCAACCATAAAAAAGAATAAAGTTCTGTCATTTTCACCAACACGGATGGAACTGGAGGTCATTATGTTCGGTTTCACAGTCACAGAAAGACAAATATTGCATGTTTCCACTTATCGGTGGGGACTAAAAAAGTTGATCTCATGAAGGTAGGGAGTAGAATGATGAGTCCCAGAGGTGGAGAAGGGGAAGGTAGAGAAGAAATGAATAGAGGTTGGTCAAAGGGTCCAAACAACAGCTAGAGAGAAGGAATAAGTTCCAGTGTTCACTAGTACAGTACAGTGACTATAGCTACCAATAATCTATTGCTTGTTGTTTGTATTGTTGGGGGGAGATTTACTGGAAATTTCAAAATAAACAGAAGAAGAGGTTTGGAATGTTCTCGTCACAAAGAAATATAAATATTCGAGGTGATGGATAGCCTAATTATTCTGATTTGATGATTATACATTATATGCACATATCAAAATAGCCCATAAATATGTAAAATTATTATGTATCAATTTTTTAAAACATGGGCTTATAAAACTGCAAGGGCTATTAATATTATCTAGTCCCAGAACCATAGATTGTGAAAACTGGTGCTATCCAGGTCTCTCAAACATAGAAAAGCCAGAGCAATTTAGACACATGCCCAATGTCAAGAACGAGCCCCCGAGACACAGCTGCAGCTCAGCTCAGAGCACCTGTCCTATCCCACCAGGGTTCAAGGGCTTTGCTGGCCAAAACCCAGTGTGTACGTTTGCATTGTACAAAACCTGGAAACAATGTGCTGTAAAGAAGCCTCACCATGCAGCCTCACTCTGACAAAGCAAAACAGAAAGCAAATGAACACTTCAAAAAATAAAGGGAATGATATGAATTAAAATAGCAACTCTCACCGGAGCAAAGTCTTCTGGTTTTGATGATATGAGTAACACCAGCAGAGGACAGTTCTTTCCCCCCATCTATCTAGCCCCTTATTTATGTGTCTTCTTTTCAATTGCCCTTTCCAATATAAGCACAAATCACCCCACCCTAAGATCCCAAAACCTGTCTCTGGATAAACCCCTTTAACCAAGGCAGAGAGGGACCTTCCAAGAAGAAAGCTCATGGAGAGGGGAGGGATTCTGGGATCAAATGGGCTTCTGCCTCCTCAGGTGCATGGAGATCCTTCCATGACAGCAAGACTTCCAGGGATACCTGCGAGGATGCTTCCGGAGACTTACTCAGATACAGTTGCCCAAGCTCAATCACCAGCCACAGAATGAGAGGTCCTTTAGACATTTTGATGGCGGACAGGCCGCAGGAGTCTGTCTGTTTGTCTAAAGTTCAGCTCTTATAACCTAATTAACGCTGACAGGGTGGGATCCTTGAGTTTCATTTCTCTTTACACCTCCTAATCTTCCCTTTCCCTGTCCCGAATGGCCTCCTCCCATGAGTGATGTATGATAAAATGTGCTGAGCACATTACTCCTGGTGACCAGTGTGTATGGAGAGGTGGCGTGGGTGTGAGTGTGTCTCTGAGTCCATGCATATGGCAGATTTCCTATATGTGCTCAAGCACCCACAAATGTTCTCCCGTGTGTGTGTGCACGTATGACCCATGCATGAGCCATGGTCATCCTGGCTTCTGTGTAGCCGGTGATGAAATGCAGTGAACTCTCCATGCTGGCAATTGTTTACATGTGGATTCCTCATGGGGCCAAAGCAAAGCTAGACGGGAATTAGGCTCCACCCCCATTCTGGGCCCTTCTTCACTCTGACTCCAGTCCCATTGCCCGAATAATGAAGGAAGAAGACAAGCAGAGCTGCCATCAATCATCACATAAACCAAAAACACCATTTGAGTTTATTCAGAAAGAAAAATGGAGGCAGAGTAGAGGAAACATACCGTGAGGGTTCCGACATGGGCTCCGGCAACAAGCACGTACAAGGTCAAGGCCCAGTTCCACCACTTGATAGGGTAGGACCCACAAGATAGTTTGTGAATCAGATCGCAGGGCCTGAGCTAGACGATATTTAAGGCCCTTTTGAGTTCTATCCCTTGATTTATTTCTTTTTAAGAGTCAGGGTCTCAGTCTGTCACCCAGGCTGGAGTACAGTGGCACCATCATGACTCACTGCAGCCTTGACCTCCTGGGCTCAAGAAATCTTGCTGCCTCAGTCTCCTGAGTAGTAGGACTACAGGTACACACCACCACATTTGGCTAATTCTTTTTCTTAATTTGTAGAGATGGGGTCTTGCTTTGTTTCTCACTGCAGTCTCAAATTCCTGACCTCAAGTGATCCTCCCACCTTGGCTTCTCAAGGCATTAGGAAAATCTGTGCCCAGCCAGATTTTATAGATTTAATGATATACTCAACACCACAGAACAAGTTAGAGAAGGAATCAAATTGGTGCTCATCAGCCAGATGTGTTTTCTAAAACAGGATTATATCATTACCAGTATTTATTTAATGTTGTTGAATTAGGCACCTTGCTGTGTGACAAAGATGCATTACTTAATTCGCGCAACCCTAAGAAATAGATATTATTTTCCTATTTGACAGATAAGGAAACTGAGTCTTAAAGGAATGAAATAAATTATGTAGTACCCACAGCTAAAAGTTGTAGAAATAGACTCAAGCCCAGGACTCTCTGACTGCAAAGCCCATCAATAATCATTGTATCCATTTTTGAACTGTGAACCTTAGGGTAACGTGTCGGTAAGACCAAGCATACCTGTGCTAGTTTCTCCTTAGCACCAGAGAGAAAATTTGAGGATGTTTTGCTTTGTTTTTTAATCCTCATTTGATTGTAACCAGTCAAACAAGTCTCAGACATTCAATAATGCCCATAACAAAGGTATCAGTGAAAATACAAATATCAGGTGAGGTTCTGGATTCAGAAAAGTCAGACTAACAAGAGGCAGGGATAGAAATAAAGGGATTCCGAGAAAATCTTCTCCTCCTTTTTTAAATGGACACTTGGGAAATTAAGGAAAGGGAAAATGAGGCAATTATTACAACCAGAAAAGATAAAAGGCACAAGAAAGATGTAATGATGGTCCATTTGCTAAATGTGAAAGAGAGTTACATGGTCGTGATCATGGAAGGTCTGGCTACTAGCTGAACACAAACTGTGATGTGATGACATGAGGAAGACAGGTCAAGAAGAAGTGGGGTGGGAAGGAGAAAACCAAAGTCTACTTATCCTTACAGGGGCTCACCAGATGGAGTCTCATGGATTCATCAGGCAAAACCAGCAGTAATATGGAAGTAAAAGCCAGAGGAAAGCACACAAAATAGCTTCAATTTTAATGTTAAATAATAGGAGAAATTCACTATTTTTTTTTAGTTACAAACATTCAATTTTATTTTTAAAAATATGTATGCTGAGTTTGAGACCAGATTGGGCAACATAGCAAGACCCTACCACTACAAGAAATTAGCCAGGCTTGCTAGTGCATGCCTGTAGTCCTAGCTACTCAGGAGGGATAGAAGTCTCAGCATAGTTGGACTTTTTTTTAAAACATAGTATCTGGCTTTCTCAAAAATAAGTATTCCAAATTAGCTGGACATGATGACACATGACTGTAGTCCCAACTATTCAGGATGCTGAGACGGGAGGATTACTTGAGACCAGTTAGAGGCTGCAGTAAACTATAATCCTGCCAATGCACTCCAGCCTGGGTGACAGAGTGAGAGTCTGTATTTTAAAAAATGGAAATTAAAATTAAAAACACATAAAAATTAAAATGTATATATTGAGCACAGATTGCACCCAGATCTTAAGACTCTAATGCCATTCTCTAATTTTAAAAACCAGGGCAGGCTGGGCTCAGTGGCTCGGCCTGTAATCCCAGTACTTTGGGAGGCTGAGGCAAGTAGGTTGCCTGAGTCCACAGGTTTGAGACCCACCTGGGCAACTTGACGAGACCTTGTCTCTACAATAAATCAAAAATTAGCCAGACGTGGTAGTGCATGCCTGTAGTTCTGGCTATTTGGAAGGCTGAGGTGGAAGGATCACCAGAGCCCAGCAGGTCGAGCCTGTGGTGGCCAGGAGCATGCTACTCCACTCCAGTCTGGGTGACAGAGTGAAACTCCAACTCAAAAAAAAAAAAAAAAAAAAAAAACCAGGGCAGTTTTAGGGGCAAGATGACCACGGAACAGGTTGGACTGTGAGAGACTCTGCAAAAGCAAGTGTCCATTAAAAACTCTTTGCATGAGTGGGTATGTGCCAGTGGGTGAGTGAAAGTGTATCTGAGGGGGGACTCAGGTTCATGCACCTGGGGCTCTCCTCCAGAGGTAACTGCAACCCACCACTGCCCTGAGATTGGAGACCCGGGCAGGCAGAATTGTCTGCTGATCTTGGGGCTCTCTTGAGAGGAGGCAGCAGACAACAGCTGCCCCTCACTACCTGGCACCTGGCCCATGCCATCACCTGCAGCAGCAGGCCAGGCACAAGCAGAAGGAACCGTGGAAAAGGAACCATCCAGATATCATGGATATCTGGAATAAAGCGCAAACGCTGGTGATGAGACGCTGAAGGGCGCTGTCTTCTCAATCCCAGAACCAGGCAGAGATCTGCATTGCTCTGCCCAGCTCCAACCAGCCTCCATCTTGGAATGCAGAAGCTATCCTCTCATCGGATTTGGAGAGACAGATGCCCCTCCCCCATGCTGGAACAGGACACATGTCAGATCTGAGTGGGAGACTGACAGCTGCAGTGCGTAAGGTGAATCCGGATCTGATCCATCCTCCTCCTACAGAGGTGGAGGCCAGAGTCACTACTTGAGGCAGAGCCAGCAGCCAAAGGGAAACTGGAGTTACAGAAAGGGCCACAGAGTAAGTTTTTTTTCTTGTTCATTTTTTATTTTAGTTTTTCCTTTTTTCTGTCTCTCTTTCTATTTTTGTTTATGTTTTCATACTTGCTTTGTTTCTATTATTTTAATTTTCTTTTTTTTAGATTCTCTGTTTGCATATGGGTATTTTGAGGGAGAGTACACCAACAGGGAGGGTTCTATTTGTTTGTTTGAATAATTCTCTGTATGTTTTTGTCTTTTTTATTTTTTCTGTCTTTATTTGTTTCTCTGTTTATTCATCAGTTGGTGCACTTGCCTCTTTTCCTCCTCCTCCTCCTTCTCTCTACCTTCCTTTCATCTTCCTCCTTCCTTTTTCCATTCTTTCCCAATTTCTTATCTCATTTTGCTTTCAGGGGACAAACAGACACCCTCACTGCATGGACAGATTGTAAGGCAGTGGGAAGTGGGTTCCAGGGAGCCCACATACCTGTCAGTGGACACTAGGATCTGCAGATAGCTTCTGTATCACAGCTCCCCCTTAATTAAATCTCAAAACTGCAAAAAGCATAGGCTCCCACACCAGTCCAGCTTCAGAATTGAACAAAACCAGAGGATGTACATAAGGAAGAATAGGAGATTGAGCAAACAAAAATAAAAGTTATCCCCCATCACTGAACAAAAGAATTAAAGAAAAGGTTAAAAAAAGAGGGAGAAGAAAACCTACACCAATGAAGAAAAACCAAAGGAAGAATATGAGACTCACACAGACCCCTGGGAGGTCAATCACTGAGAATTTAGACTTTGGAACTCAAACAATGAAGAGCCACCAGAATAACTGGTCTCAAACCACAAACCCAGATATCAAAGATATTAATAGAGAGAATAAATGAAAATGAGAAGAGACAAGAAGAAAGAATGAAGGAGTTGACAACTGAGATAACAGCAATAAAGAATACAGTGAATGAAATAAGTAATAAACTGATAAGCATGGAAAGCAGAATTAACCAAGCAGAGGAAAGAATCTCAGAGCTTGAGGACTACTAAGAACAAATCTAAACTGTTAAAAATATAGAAAAGAAGCTTTAAAAGACAGAACAAAACCTTTAAGAGATGAGTGGCTGTTTCAAGAGGCTGAGCCCAAGACAAACTGTAATCCCTGAGGCAGACACAGACCACCCTGGAACAAACATTCCATGAACTTATTCAAGAAAACTTTCCTCATCTCATCAGTGATGTCACCATTCAAACACAAGAGATTCAGAGAACCCCTGCAAGACAACAAATGAGAAGACCTACTCCTGGACACATAGTAATTCGCCTACACAAAGTAGGTATAAAAGAAAAAATTCTAAAGACACCAAGAGAAAAATGTCAGACTGCCTACCAGGGAAGACCAATTAGAATAGCAACAGACATCTACAGAAACAACATGTGTGAATCAATGCAAAAATCAAAAGAAAGACAATAAGCAAACAAACAAACAAACAAACAACAAACTAT